TCCTTTTTGCTGCCAGTTCCTTCTCATACTTGATTGCCTGCAGCTCATTTCCTGCCATCCGATGCAACACAATGCACTGTTCCAAGTCAGTGATGGTGAGCTCCTCTGGGCCCGTGAGCGCAGCGAATGGCGACTTGGCGGATGCATCATTGTTCCCAAATGATTGAGCACCTGGGATGCCTCCCCCCTGTCTGCCTGTTGCACCTGGTTTGGGCCAAACGGGGACATCTGGCCACTTAGCGGGGGTGGCCATCCCGCTGTCCGACCATGGAGCCTTGCAATGCTTGCACCAGCTCCATTGCCATCGATCCTTGCCACAATTGCATTTAGTACATTTCCAATACCAAGCAGAAGAGAAAGCATCACGAGGTGCCATCGCTGCCAAGGACAGGAAATAAAAGCCGATGTGCAGTACGTGGTGGTGTCGAAACCGCGCGGCAAAGCCGCAGTACAGTACCGACGAAACTGCGGGGGCCGCGCAATCCCCCTCGCCACCAACTCTCGCCCTCTGAGCCACCGCTACGGACTTGAGCCAAAATGGCTACGGATCTCCTCCTCCTCCTCCTCCTCCTCCTCCTCCTCCTCCCCCCCCCCCCCCCCGTCTCCCCCCCCCCCCCCCCCCCGCCCCCCCATCCGCCCCTCCCCTCCGCCCATCCCCCCCCTTTCCCCCCCCACCCCGCCCCGCCCCTCCTTCTCGGCCCGGCGGCGCCAGAATTCGCCCCGCACCCCGTCCGTCGCCGCAGGGGCCGCAGGGCAAGCGGGAAAGAGCCCGGTTTGCTAGGCCACCCACGGCTCAAGTGCTGGACTTCCCCCAGCTTGGCATTCGTCGAGTTGCAAGCCACCCCCTAGAGTTCAGAGTTCGAACTGCCGGAGCCACGCCCCAGCGAGGGCGAGGGGCGGAGCGGAAGACGGACAACACGATGACGGAGCAAGGAGCACCCGCGGAGGCGGGGGGGAGAAGGGCGAGAGAGGCCACGGAGCCAGGAGACACAGGAGAGCAGGGGGAGAGGGACGACGACGGGGCGGAGGTCATCGCAGAGAGCAGGGGGAGAAGAGAGGGGGCAGGCGCGAAACACGCGCAGCGGCCGGGGCGGGCTCAATCCCAGATTTGCCACGCCGATCCTGCCCCCAGCGCTGGAGCAGCCCCCCGGTGGCAGCCGCCCCCGCCGTGCTCGGCGGCGCCCCGCCCTGGCTGGCTCGCGTGCCCTGCGCGGGCTCAGGCCCCCGCTAGGCCGAACACGCCTGCCCAGCTGCGCCGCGCGCAGGGCTGTCTGAGCCCGCGCTTTGGAGCGCCGCGGCGATGCGCCTGCGCGCGCGCTGCATCGCCGCGACGGTCTCGTCTGGCGGCCGCGGCGCGAACAGCGCGCGCATCAGCGCCAGCGCGGACGGCCCCATCAGCGGGCGCCTGCACTCGGCGGCCCGCGCGCACCGACGCATGACCATGAGCAGAGCGCGAGGGTTCACCTTCGCGAGCTGAAGAATCCACGCGATGCGTTCCGTGGCCTCGCGCGGGGCGCATGTCACGCCAGCCCCGTCAGCGGCAGCCCGCAATCGTTCCCGGCGGGGCCCCGGGGCCCCCCGGATGGACGCCACCTCAGCGAAGGTCGCGATATAGAGGGGGGAAATACATTTGGCACCACCATTGAAGAGCAATCGCGGCGTCGATCGGCAAAGCCCCGTATCGGAGCCGCCCCCGCCTTGCAGGGGGCGCGGCGGCCGCGGGAAGAGCGTTTCCCGCGAGCCCGCGGTGGGCGTGCAGGCGGAGCGAAACTGCTGGGACCCGCCTCATTGGCATGACCGCAGAGGTGACGCAGGCCTCTTCGAGGTCAGAGCGGCCGACTGCACGGGCGCGCCAGGGCCATCCACGGCCGCCATGCTGAGGGGCGGTTGGAAGACGTGGAACGCGCCTTGCGCGTCGTCGCTGCTCGACAGGAGAACCATCTCGTCGCCCAGCGGGATGGCTGCCCACGCTGTTGACGACGACAGCGCATCGAGGTCACGTTCGGCCATCTCATGGCAGGCGTTGCTGGATCCTGTTCACAACGAGGCGGCGTACCCCCCATATCCCCTGCGCGGGCATGCCCTCCTTCTCACGAGCGAATGCCCCATTCGAGAGGGGCTGCCCTCGGACGTGCATGATGCCGCGGCGGCCGACGTCGTCAAAGATGCCCAGGCGCACAAGGCGTCCGCAGGTGGCCCCCCGTTCGGTCTGGTCGGCGACGTGCGCCCATGCCCGCGGCATTCGCTCGGGCCACTGCTCCTCCGGGAGCATGGGCCTGTCGATCAGGGTGCAAGAGCCACTCTCGCACCTCCGGGGCTGCCAAATCCGCCGCCAGCACAGACGCGGCGGCGCCCTCCGCCCGCAGGCCAGGGAGGAGCTCGCCCAGCACCAGCGGCCGCGGCATCGGGGCCTCCACGCCGTCGCAGCTGCAGCGGAGGCTGCAAAATCTATCTCTCCATTGGGCATGTCGAGTTGCTCGAGCGGCCCCGCGACAAAGTAAGAGACGCTCTCCCTGATAGACAGCGAAGCATCGTGCTGGCCCGGGGTCGGGACCAAGCTGCGTCGCCACATGGCCTCTGTCTGTCGCCCGCAGCACTCGCGGCCGAGAGCCGCGATCGCGAGCCAGCTCCACACCTCGAGAGCGTCTTCGGCGGCCATCGCCCGGCGACGGGCCCTACAGGGGCCGCCGCGGCTGGCCTCGGAGAAATCGAAGGAGGGGGGCGCCGGAGCAGGAAGCGGGGGGGCGCCCCGCGGCTGCACAAACACGCCCGAAGTGTCCGAGCTGACTTGGCGCATTCAGGACCATCTGGGCACGGGCTGAGCCTGGAGCGAAGCAACTCGCGCGGCTGCCGCGGAGCCGGCGCGCCCGGTCGCGCCAAGCCCCATGCGTCAAGGCGTTAGGCGGGGGCGCCTCGGGCCCGCCCGCTCTCGCCGTTTTCTCCACGCTCTGGCGTCGCAGCGTCCTGTCCTTGGCTATCTGCTTGCATGAGGAGGCGCTGCCAGTAGGCCTCGCGCCCCTTGCCCTCCTGCCCGGGCATATCTCCCATGGTCATCCGAAACTGGCCTCGGTTCGCCGAGGAGCCTGGTCGCCGAGGCGCGCCGCGCGGGCAGGGCCCCCCTCCCCGCGGCAGTGGGGGCCGACTGTTTCTGGCCAGAGGCCCTCCCGCTCGGGGGGCCCGCAGTCGGCTCGGCGGTGCTGTTTGGGGGCGATTGGGACGCGCCCCGGGGCAGCTGCGGCGGGCGCGGGCGATCGCCGCGGCCACCAGTTGCGAGCGTGGAGACGCTGGCTGGCGCGCCACCGCCCAGGGCGGCAGGGGCGCCGGGGCGGCGCTCAAGCGAGCGCCGTTGGCCGCTCGCCCCGCCGAGCCCCTAGTGCACGGCAGGCCCGCGCGCCTTCCGCTTGAGCTCGTCCAGCTGGAGCTCCCCCTCCTCAACCCTCGGCGCCGTCTCCTCCTCCTCCGGAGCGACGCCGCTGGGGAAGGCGTCGGGCGGGATCAACTCGAGCCACCGGACCGCCTCCCAGGAGCCGCCGCCCTTGATGGAGAGGCAGATGGCCTCAAATCGCGGTGCGAGGAGGCCCGCGGCCCTGAGCCCGTCACCCTGGACGACGCGGTCGATGGCTTCGCAGATTGTTCGCCGCATCTCGCGAAACCAGCGCCCCCGACGTCTCGGGCTGGATGGTTCGGAAGGTGCCCGTAGGGCAGGTGCCGCAACATGATCGGGTCGAGGTCGCCGTGGGGGCTTTCGTCGTTCAACCTGTGATCCTCCCAATTCTGCTACAGCCCACTCGTCAAAGGTCTCCCCGGCTAACTCTTCCGCGCTCCTGCGGTGTTTCGCTCGCCGGGAGCGTAGCCTGTGGCCCTGCATCGGAGGCTCGTCGTCGTCGTCGTCCTCGCCCGGATCGGAGGGGGGCCGTCGTCGCGGTCACGCTTTCGCTTCTTACCCAAAACCGCCCCCGCGAGGACGGCGGCCGCTTTCCGCGCGCGAGCGGCGCGGCCCCCGACCTGGTTCTGCCTGTCAGGACGCGCAGCCGAAAGTTGGGCCTCCCGCGCGGCGAGCACGATGTCGACTGCCTCGCGCCAGCCGCGCGCGAGCAGGAGGCGCCGAGCCGGCCCCCGAGCCCGGCCACGCGCTTCCTGTTGCCCTGCAATCCCTGAGGGCGTCGTCCGGGACGAGGTACCTCCACGACTGCCCTCAGGCTGTGGTCCGGCCTTGATGGGCCCGGAAAGTGGCCGCTTGGCTCCTCGCGGGGGCGGTGCGCTTGGCGGCGGGGCGCCCGCGCGGCCCTCGCCGCGGGGCGCCGCGGGGCAGGCAGTCCCCCTTGGGAGGGCGGCCATCGCGCCGAAAGGGTCCAGGAGTTCTTCGTCGTCGTCGCCTTCGTCTGGGCGGCGCGAGCTCCTGCCTATCAAGGGTCTCCGCTGCTTGGGGTGGTTTCAGGCGAGGCGGTCGCGGCTCCGCCACGCCTGGCCGGCCTCACCCAACCTGGCGTTCCGTCGATGGGGGGGCCAGCTCCAGGCTCAGCAAGCCAGCGCGAGCGTCGTGGACCTGGACCCCGCACGCCCTGAGCCAGTCCTGCGCCTCCGCGGGGGTGAGGATCCGCCAGCGGGAAATGTGGATAACGAGGGCGTCGCCCTCCCACTGCGTTCCGCACTCCGCCAGGCGACACAAATGGTGCCTGGTGTCGAGAGGCATGGCGCCCCGGGTCTCGGAGGCGGCTGGAGAAGCCCACCACTCCCAGTACGGGTCGGACGCGGCGAGGTAGACACCCGCGACGGTCTGGGCCGCTGTCGTCGGGGGGCCCGCCGCGTGCGACAGAGAGGAGAGCACGCCCCTGTGGCTGGCCCTCCGTGGTGGATACCTCGGTTTTGAATATGGATCCCCGGACGACACCGGGGGGTGCCGGGGCCAATGGGTCAGCGGCATCCTGCCATAGGCATGACATCGCGCTCCCCGCCTGGAGAAGGCTGGGGCCACCGCCAAGGCGAGGGAGGGAGTGTTGGCCGGGTCGGGCAGGGGCCGCGGATGCGTTTAAGCTTGTCTGTGAAACGGCGGCGCGGAACAAGCGGCAATGCCAGTGGCACACATAGCACATCATGCTTCAAGATGTTCGCATGCCGCCCTTTGCTTCTCTATCATCGGGAAAACGCCTCGCGGCGGAATGGAATAGCCAGCTGCACACAGCAGTCTTCGCACCCCCCCTCGTCCAATCCCCGCATCCCTGCCCGACCCGATGAGCTTCGTTCGACCCATCCCTGTCCCCACTGGCGTGGCCTGGGCCCCTCTGGCCGATTACCCCCCTGGATGAGGATACAGGCTGTTCCCTTGAAGCTTCGAGGGGCATATCCCCAACTGGGGTGGTGGGTTTTCGTATTCCTTTCCCCGTGCAGAGACACTGTCCAGGAGTGCCACCCTGGGGGGCCTGGGTCCGCTCCACCGCCACTCGGGAGACTGGTCAGCCCAAACCCCCTGCCTACCCCCGCGACCACAAACTCCGCGCCCGCGAGCGAAGCTCCGCGTCGCCCGACCGAGGCCAAGCGGAGGCCAAGGACGTCCCAGGCGCAAGCCTCAGGTGTCGGGATGGGGATGGGGGTGGGGATCGGTTCAATGAGCGCTTTCTGATTCAGAGTTTCGACATTGGGTGAAGGGGGGAGGGAGGGGGGGGTCTGGCTCCAGACCTCTGCTTAATGGGACTGTCAGCGGAGGTGCGTACCATGGAGGAAACCCGACCTGCTTGAAACAGGCGCCCAAAACAGCCACGATCTACTCCAAGGGGGGGGGAAGCGGGGGGGTGCGAGGGCCCGCGCCGATCGGCAAAACACTGAATAAGAAAACGATCACCAACGATACTGACCTGATGCTCCGTGGCGAACGCTTCCCGCCAGAGGAGCAGCACGCAGGAGCCAACGGCGAATGCAGTCTGATGGCCGCGCGCCCGGAGCCGCCGCCGCCACGCGCGCTCGGCCCGCCCCCCCTGCTGGAGCGGGGCGACCTGCGGCCGCGGCAGCGGAGGGGCAACGATAGGGGGGACAACGTTGCGAGGTTCGGGGTTTGAGGTTCACGGCCGCTTTCGTCGGTCCGCGTCCGCTGTCCAGCCTCGGAATGCCTTCCCGCAGCCGCGCCTGGCCGAGAATGTTTCAAGGGTCCCCAGATCGTCCCGAACGGCCGCCAGAGGCCAGAGTTATGGCACGAAAACCACCAGGGGACTGGTCCAGGGGAGGAAGCATCGACTTGAAATTGGCGACACATCGCCGATCGACAAAGGACAGGCCCTCGATAGCGCGGGGTAGGCTATTGGGCCCCTGTCGGCGATCAATGGGCGATTTAAGGTCGATGCATCCCCCCTTGAGCCTGTCCCCGTCCATGGTAGTTTTCGGGACTAACCCGGGCCTCTGGCGGCCGTTCGGGATGGTCAGGGCATCCCAGGAACGCCCTCGGCGAGGCGCAGGTGCTGCAGAGCATCCCCAGACTGGAAAACAGTTGAGAACTGCTGAGAACTTCCAAAAACATTGAACCTCGAGCACTGTCGTTGCCCTCACTGGCACGGAGCGACCCGCTGCCGCGCAAACGCCGGCGGCATCCTGGCCCCGTCAGCCCGGGGCCGCCCGAGGCGGGCCGCGCAGGCGGCGGTCCGGGAGCAGCCCGCAAGCCGCCCCAACTGGGGCGAGCGACGGGGCGCGCGGTCAGGAAGAGCCCTTCGTCGCTTACGTCCGCCACCGCCTCCTCCCCCTCCCGCTCCTCTTCCTGCTCCTCCTTCTCCTCCTCCTCCCCCGCCTCCTCCTCCATGTTTATGTGTATCCGCTGTCTTCTCCGTATTAGTCATACGGCTGTTATTGTGAGTAGTACCGTTAGTGACATATTTTGTCATCCTACTAGCATTGGTATACGTATTACCACTCTGTCAATTGAAATTGTCGTGCTATGATTATTGGCAGGTTTGATCGTAGTATGATCATTCCCATGATTAACGTAGTATGTATTGTGGTGTTGTTCGTAATGTGGCTATGTGCGATGTAAATGTTATGCGTCGTGCTGGGATTCGCATTCTCATTCCTAGTAATAACCACATGCTTATGAATGCAACATTGTTTATTGATGCGAGCAGTAAGAAAACTCGCATTATAATACGTGGGGTCGATACTATTAAAATGCAATGATTATCGCATTCGCACCATTACTGCTACTGTTCCGACAGACATAACATAAGAGTATTGTTGGGTTTGTGACTGGCACTGCGATACTTAACATTCGTATTCGCATTCGTGATCGTAGTATTACTACTATTATAATTGTTTTGATGTCAGCATCCAAACTATTATTATTTCTCGTACTACTAGTATCATTCCTTGGAGTAGCACTAGTCGTATTAGCAGTAATAGTAGTCGTCGTAGTCGTCGTCTTATGCTTCTTACTGTTATCCCTCACATCCAAAAATGATTGTGTTTTCTTGTCACACTTTCCGCGCAAGATTGTTCCTCCTCCGCGTCCCCTCTCTCTCTTTGTCTCTCTCCTTTCTTTCACACATTCACTCGATCACTCACACACATCATCATCACTCTATGTCACCCACTCAGCCACTCACGCACACCATCATCACCACCGTCTTACTCACCCGAACATTCACTCATCTACACAATCATCATAGTTACCACGTTGACTCAGTCAGTAACTCATTCGCTCACCCAATCATCTCATGCAGGCTTTCGTTTGTGAACGAAGCGCGAAACAAAATCGCGCGGGAACCCCATCCCTATGGGGCCCGCACCTCATGTGAATAATCCAAACGGGTCACCAGAACCGTGTACCAGTCGTCTCTTCTGGCCTCTTCAAGCTTGAATAAGGCGGAAATTTCAGGAAGGAGCCTCGAGTAATTGTCATCACGTCTGGCCTCTTCAAACTTGAATATGGCGGAAAAATCCGGCGGGAGCTTCGTCTGTGAGTGAATTGCGAAGAAAATTCAGGCGGGAGCCCCCTCCCTACGGGGCCCGCTGCTCATGTGAGTAATCCGGACGGGTCATCGGACTCGCGTACCTGTCGCCACTGCTGGGCTCCCTGAAGCCCGAATGTGGCGGAAACTTCAAGCAGGAGCCTCGTTTGTGACTGAATTGCGGGAAAAAATCTCAGGCGGGAGACCCCTGAGCGCGTCATCGGGATCCTATAACTATCGTCATTGTTGGGGTTCTCTTGGGGTTGAACTTGGAGGAAGTATCAGATTTGAGCCTCGTTTGTGAATGACTTGCGAGGACATCTCAGGTGGGAGCCTCCTCATTATGGGGTCCGCAGATCGCGTTACTAATCCGAACGGGTCATCGGAACCGTGTAACCGTCTTTTCTGTTGGGCTCATGGGGCCTGCATCTGGGGGAAGTTGTAGGCGGGAGCCTCGTCTGTGAGTGAACCGCGAGGAAGTCTCTGGCGGGAGCCTCCCCCCGTGTGGCCCGCAGATCATGTTACTAATCCGATCGGGTCATCGGAACCCTGTAACTGACGTCATACTTGGGCTCCGGGGGCCTGAATATTTGGAAAGTACCAGGCGGGAGACTCGTCTGTCATTGGATTGTGAGGACGTCCCAAGCGGGAACCTCCTCCCTCACTTCACGTGCTTCCTCTGGGTCGTCCTCCAGCGCGCGCTTCCTCTGGGTCGTCCTCGGGCGCGTAGCCGCTGGGACGCACCCCGTGCTGTTCCTGCAGATCGTGTTCCGCACGGGGAAGAGGAGGAGGTGGAGGAAGAGGAGGAGGAGGATGCAGGACGAGAAAGAGACGGAGAAAAAGGAAGAGGAGGAGGAGGCAGAGGAGGATCCGGACGATGATGAGGAGGAGGGATGCCCTAGGAGGACCCAGGTCCCAGGAGGCCCAGAAAGCACCAGGAGGCCCCAAGAGGCCCC